CTTGCTTACTTCTTGAGTCTGTTTGTACTGTGATCTCTATATATATACCTGCATGTTTACTCTTGTTAGGTTGTGATCATTGTACCTTTTGCTCTATTATAAACCTGCATGTGAACTGGTCTTGTGACCACTTGCTTGTGCTCGGAATTTGTGTGGTATCCTTGAGATCCACCCTGAGCTTGTTTTGCCTTGCTTTGCCTTGACTGGTCTTGTGACCCCTAGTTCTCCCCCACTTTGCCTATGGGGGTGTGTCAAACATTATATATGTTGTGTTAGTTTAGGCTACAGTGGGTTAGCCTATAGGGGGTACACAATTCTAGGGTTAGGTACTTGTACTCATTTCACTGCTAGTTCATTTCATTCCTGTTCAGTGATTCCAACAGGCTCTGGTGGCTCGGGCGGCTCGGCGGTACGGCGGCTCGGCAGCTCGGCGACCCGGCGGCTCGGGCGGCTCAGGTGGCGCGGCGGCTCGGGCGGCTCGGGTGGCTCGGGCGGCTCGGCAGTAGCTCGGCAGCGCCGGCGGCTCGGTGGTGACGGCGGGGCCGCGTGGGGACGGCGGCGGGCCCGGTAGAGGCGGCGCCGGGGCCGCAGGGTAGGCGACGGGGCCAGCAGAGGCGGCGCCGGGGCCGGGAAGGGCGGCGTCGGGGCCGGGAAGGGCGGCGCCGGGGCCGCAGGGGTAGGCGACGGGGCCGCTAGGGTGGCTAGGAGGGGGGTCGCGAGGGCGGCATGAAGAGGCCGCGAGGGCGGCACGAAAGGGCCGCGAGGGCGGCGCGAACGGGTCGCGAGGGCGGCGCGACGCGACGGAGCCGCGAGGGCGGCGGATCGGGGCCGCGAGGGCGGCGTGACGCGGCCGCTAGGGCCGCGCGACGTGACGGGGCCGCGAGGGCGACGCGACGAGGCCGCAAGCGCGACGCGACGGGGCCGCTAAGGCGGCGCGACAGGGTCAAAAGAGGGGAGCGCGACTCGGGCAGAGTAGAGCGCGCTCCGGGCAGGAAAAAAGGTGGTGGGCCCTAGGAACAGTTCCCACAGGGGAACCTGCTCTGATACCATGAGAAAATGAACGAGAATGGATTGACTAAGGGAAAGTTGGGTACAAGTACAAACCCTAGAAAGTCGTACCTCATATGTGCTACCCCACTATAGCCTAAAACAGCTATGTCATATAAATCTGACAGGTCCAGCTCACCTACTGCCCGACTGGCGAAATGGCAGCTGACTTTGTGACGAAGAAACTACCACGTCAGAAGTTCGAGTACTGCTCGGATCTGTGCGGAGTCGTTCGAAGGAAGCATAAAGGGAATTACACTTAGCATTCCCATAGGTGCAGCAGTATCGCTCCAGTCCCTACCGAAGCAGCAACAACTGCAGTATCGGTTCAGCCCGTATCAAGGGCAGGAAGGTCAACAGTCGCAAGAGTCAACTGTCGCGACTGCTGACCATCTGGACCGACGTTTGACTTACCATCGAGGAATAGCAACAGGCGTAACCGTATGTACAAGTTACATGCAGCGACTTGGTAACAAGTAGTACAACAGTCAGAGTCACTGTAGAAATGCCTGTAAAACAGTTAGAATAAAGGAATGTACCCCTCAGAGTACATGGCTAGCTAGGAACTATTTATTATGTGTGCAATCTCTGTTTTATTCAACGTTGTCATCTGCATTCACTCTGATCAGAGTTCCTACAACTACCGTATGGCCCCGGATAGAAGCGCAGGCCTATGTTAAGCGCATGCGCTTGTATCTGGAGCAATGCGCTTATGGCCGATCCTCAATTATAAGCGCACCCCTTTGGAATTCTTGACTTATTATAAGCGCACTCGTTTAGTTAAAAAAAAAAAAGAATTTCATTTTTTTTAACCTACCTAGCCTACATGTTCTAAACTTTCCATTAAGAATGACTATCACATACAAGGGTGGTCTCTGCTGTCCTGCACTACACCTTTCAACCTGCCTAGTCTACCCTACTGCCTTTTCTTCCTCCTCGTCCGACTCAGGCTCCGTGGAGTTGTTGCCCCAGAACCCATCTGCCTGGATGTCGTCGTCCACCTCCACCTCATGGGACAACTGGCACCTTCGGTGCGCTAGCACCAGTTTGTCTTCGCTCCCATCAAGGGCGTTGCTGATGCCGCAAGTGAGGAAGGCTTTCTTGATGAGGTCGGCGGGCACCGCCTTCCAGGCCCGTGAAATCCACTTGAGCACCACCTCCGGAGGTGGTTTCTTGATGTTCCCTGCATCACACGGAGTGGGGCGGGGAAAACATGAGACAAGTAAACATGCATTCAAGCTCAAGATTTGCAGACGGGAGCACATGCCGTCACTCACCTGCCGGGGTCAGGATGTTCATGCCGTCCTCCTCAAACCAATTTTGGTACTGCTGACGAATGCTTGCTTTGAAGCTTTTGTTGATCGACACATCGAGGGGCTGCAGGTCTGCCGTGCAACCCGCCGGAATGATAGCAGGCACGATGTTGAGCGCCGCGAATCTCGCCTTGACTTCTGGTGTCAGGTGACCGCGATACGAGTCGAGCACCAGCATGGCGCTACGACTCTGCAGGCCGAATTTCGGCTTCAGGAACGGCACCACGCCCGTGTTGAGCCACTCGATGACGCCTGCGGCCTCCATCCACCCGTTGGCTTGGCAGCCGACCACAACATCTGCACGCAACGAAAAAGAACAGTTAACGACTCAGGTAGTAACGGGAATAAACACGGTGGACGATCACTTACCGTTCGGGAAGTCACCCTTGGGGAGTGTCTTGCGCTTGAAAAACACCCACGGCTTCAGCTTCTCGCCCGTCGCCGTGCACGCAAGCATGACGGTCACTCTCTCCTTCTGGTACCCACCGCTGCGAATGGGCACCGACCTCACGCCCGTCTGCTCCACGGTGGTCGTCGCCGGCATCTCTAACCACAGCGGTGTCTGGTCGGCGTTGATGATGTAGCGGTTGTCAATGTCGTATTCGTGACGGGCGTCACGTACGTACTGCCAAAAATCATTGCACTGCTCAGCCACGTCTGCAGAACAGGGAGAAAGGTACATACAGTAAACCAAATTAGTATGACGCATAGGAGACATGCGAAAAAAACTAAGCGCAATCGGGTACCCACCAAAATCAGCAGTAAACGACCCACTTACGCTCCTGTGTTTTCTGTGCCACCTTTGTTTTCATGCGCACGCTGAGGTTCCACCGCCTGCGGAACCGCTCCGTCCACCGCTGACTGGCTTTCCACTTGACGTCCGGGTATAGAACCTTCATCACTTCTTTGGACCACTCTTGCAGCCGGCCGACCGAAACCGCAACTCCGCGGCGTCGCCAGTCGAGGAGTTGCGCGTACACCTTTAACTCCATGGGGCGGTACCAAGACGACCTCCCGCGCCCGTGAAGTCGCATCCGTGCTCCGTGTGCAGCCTTGAGCGCATCCGCTTGGGCTTTCCATTCTGTCAGACATTTTCGGTGAATGCCTGACTCCCGCGCCACTTCGCTCACCGAAGCCGCAAGCTCGAGCCGCACGAGCCACCTCAACTTCTCCTGGGCGGTGTAGGACTGCCGCTTATGTTGATTCAGCTTGTGCCTGGGGGAGGGGGGGCGGGCATCTCGATTCTCGGTAGACGGGTGGGGGCGTTTTTTATTAAGGGGCGGATATGTCGGTACCGGCATCTTCGCGCGTGGTGCGTCGCGCCACCAGGACTCCACACCGTCCTCGTCCTCGTCACGGTCGGGGAACACGTCTTCCTCGTCGCCCGCTGCACCGTCGCCACCAGCTTCACCGTCGCCTCCAGCTTCGCCGGCGCCGCTGTCATGTTTATCGGTAGCCACATCATCGTCGGCGCCCACAGCCGACTCATCCCACGCGCAGGATTCTGGTTGTCCCCACCGTGGTGCAGTCGCTGGAGCTTGGATGCGTGCATCGCGGGCCTTCGGTGTGTCCGCTTCAGCCAACCATTCGTCGAACGTGGCTGGTAAATACAGTTGGAGCACGGGCCGTTGGTGAGCACCTGCCGTGGCAAAAGCAGGCGGATTCGGAGGAGCGGGAGGTGCGGGAGGAGCGGGTGGAGCAGGGGGTGCAGGGGGAGCAGGAGGAGCAGGGGGTGCAGGGGGATCCGGTGGCACTGGAGGCGCTGGTGGCTCACGGGTATACCACCCGTCTTCGGTAAGTCGCCATGTGCGGCGTGGCTTTTTCTTGAAGAGGATGCTCGTCCCACTAAATTCCGCCATGGCTTCGCCTGCCAGGCGGGGTTGACAAGGAACTGAATGAAAAAATCAGAGAAGAGGGTGAAGAAATGGGCAACGACGGTGACCCCTGCTGTGTGACGGCTCGGGTTCCTCGTCGATGACAGGCAGGAAACCCCCGCCCACTCCCGTAGAGGCGCCTGCGTGGCAGCATCTACGCTGCGCTGGCAGAGAATCTTGCCGAACCTTCGAGATGGTTCTGCCCGAATGCACATGCCTCGCAGCGCATGCGGCTCTGATTGGGCCGCACGACAACATCATCGTCACGGCTGTCACATTCTATGTTTCCAGACAACATTGTGCGGTGGTAAACCGAACCGCTGCGGTTTCTGCCTGAAAACCATGCACGATCCCACTTGGTGCATGGTCGGTTGAATTCGCCTTATTGAGAGCTTCACAATGGTGTGTTCAAAATTGATTTTCATTTTTCCCTTTATACAAGCGCATGCGCTTATAAATCTGACTCAATTATAAGCGCACCCCCCCAAAAAACAATGTTTTATTATAAGCGCAGGTGCGCTTCTATCCGGGGTATTACGGTAAGACTTCTGCTACTAAGCTCTTCTAAGGCATTCCTATCCTATCCAAACGTCCTTTACTCTAACACAGTATACACCTTGTGGCAAGCCAATCTCATTGGCTGCCAATGCACAGCATGCTGACACTTGTAATTGTGAACCACCGTCCTCCAATGCAACTACAAGGTACCACCCCTCACTGTCCTGCCCTAAGCACCAGACCAGATCGGTATTCCATTACCATACACCTATTCCCTGCCAGTTTGCAGCGGCTGCTGCTGCTGCTGCTGCTGCTGTGCCATGTGTCTTTCTTGCTGCAATGCAATCCCACGTGGCTGCAAGCTCTCCCTCTCTTGAAGCACTAACGCACCGCCCTGCAGAGTTGTCTCCAGCGCCGCCCATCCCCTTCTGCTAGCTGCACCCGTGTCTGAGAACCGCCTTGCAGCCCCGGGCCGCGACGGCCTCACACGCATGCGCCCGGCCTCCCTCTCCCCCACCTCCCTCACCCCGGCCTCTCTCTCCCTCATCCCACCCATGGACTTGGACTTCCCCAGCACCACGCCCGCCCCTGCGCCTGCTCGCCTGCCTATGCCCCACTCGCGGCCCCCCTGCGCCCTGGAGGCCCCTGCTGCTGCCGTGGCTGCAGCTGCAGCGATCCCAACAGTCCCTTCGGTGGCTGCTGCTGCCGTGGCTGCAGCCGAGTCAGCGCCTGGCGTGGGAGGAAAGGCCCGTGCAGCAGGTGGCAAGGGATCCGCCCCACGGCGCGGGAAGTGGGCAGACGATGTGGAGTGGCCTGTGGGACAGGGAGGCAGGCCGGCACGGGAAGCAGCACTTGCAGCACCTGTAGCACCAGGTGCCGAGGGAACGCGGTGCAGATGGAGTGGGGGGTGAGGACGGCCGGCTGTGTGCTGCAGGGAATGCGACCAGGCAGCAAAAGCACCAGCTGCTGCTGCCGGTGGTGCTGCCCCGCCTGCATATCCAGCAGCCCCCTCTTGCAGGGCAGTGTAGTGCTGCCCCCAAGCCCCAAGAGCACGGTGCCCCATAGGTTCATTGTCACGGGGTACTGTGCCATAGTTGCCTTGAGCGTCGAGACTGGTGTGGTTGGCATAGTTGCCGTGAGTGCCATAGTAGGAGGCAGAGGGCAGCACGTGGGGCAGGCTGGCAGCATCAAGGAAGACGTTGAGCTCGCCGCCCGGTGGCACGGCAGCAGCGGAGAGGGAGAGGTGGTGGGGGAGGGGCTGTGCGCTGTCGCCCTCGCCAATGTCGTCGTCCGTGCCGCCCTCCGACAGGCTGAACGACTCGTCACTCGCCACTGAGCCCTCCTGGTGGCCAGTGAGTTTGCAAGGGGGGACACGCGGGACATGCGGGACAGAGATAGAGGGGACACAGATTACCTTCCCGATAAGTTCAAAACCCAGCACACAGGATCACAGCTTCACTAGGACCCCCTCGTTGCATTGCATGTGTCCACCTCCTCTTGCTCAACATACGCATCAAAATGCTAACAGCCTCATTTCTCATGTCTTCATCCCCTCACCTCCTCATCCCCTCACCTCTTCATCCCCTCACCTCCTCATCCCCTCACCTCTTTATCCCCTCACCTCTTCTTCCCTTTACTTCTTCATCCCCTCACCTCTTCATCCCCTCACCTCTTCATCTCCTCACCTCTTCTATCCCCTCACCTCTTCTATCCCCTCACCTCCTCATCCCCTCACCTCCTCATCCCCTCACCTCCTCATCCCCTCACCTCCTCATCCCCTCACCTCCTCATCCCCTCACCTCCTCATCCCCTCACCTCACCTCCCCTCACCTCACCTCCTCATCCCCTCACCCTTATCCCCTCACCTCACCTCCTCATCCCCTCACCTCACCTCCTCATCCCCTCACCTCACCTCCTCATCCCCTCACCTCACCTCCTCATCCCCTCACCTCCTCATCTCCTCACCTCACCTCCTCATTCCCTCACCTCCTCATCCCCTCACCTCACCTCCTCATCCCCTCACCTCCTCATCCCCTCACCTCACCTCCTCATCCCCTCACCTCCTCATCCCCTCACCTCCTCATCCCCTCACCTCCTCGTCGTGCTCGGAGCCTTCGGAGGAGAAGGCAGCATTGGAGCTGACGTCAGCAGCATCCCGCATGTGCTCCTCGTCGTCATCACTATCTGATGCCGCCACATGCTCTGATACCTGTGGCTTGCCACGGCGAGGGAGGGCAGAGGAATCTATGTGAAACACACGCTGGCACTGCCTGATGCCGTTACGTGCTCTGATACCTGTGGCTTCACACGAGGAGGAGGGAGGGAGGACGAGCACAGACAATTGTTGTCTGGTTGTCATCTAACTTGCTCCTCATCTGTCTCATTACTGCCAATGCTGACTGACGTGGCGCGTGCTCCAACGCCTGTGCCCACACAAAATGCCTGAAGAGTGGGCAGCAAACACATGGATTGCTTGCCTGTGCATGTGCACACACACAGATTGCAGAGAGCAGAGAGTGAAGCCAGACAGGGCACAGCGGGCGCACCTCTTCCTTCTTCTGCAGGGCGTGCGTGCAGCTGGCAGGCGAGCCGTAGAAGCTGGGCATGTGCGCTGCAAACTGCCCTCCCCCGCTCATCCTCACCCCGTCCATCGCCTTCGCCAGCCGCCCCATTCCCATCCCCCCCATCACCCCCACCTCTCCCACCGCTCCTCCCGCTGCTGCTGCCGCACCTCCTCTCGCCCGCCTCTCCCGCTCGCGCTCCGCCAGGCCCTCCCCCCCGCTGCTGTTGCCCACGTCAGCACTGCGGGGGAAGGCCGTGCGGCCGCTGAAGCGCACGTGGATGGGCGCCAGCACGCTGCCACCGCCCCCACCAGATGCCCCTAGAGATGCGCCTGCACCAGGTGCACCTACCCTGGGCGTGGAGCACGCACTCACCCCAGAGCTCAGCAGCGCACTGGGGGACTCCAGCGAGCCTTCCGTAGCCGACGGGGTCTCTGAGAGGTTCAGCAGGGGGATGGCGACAGCTGGGGGAGGTGGCACCTGCCCGTGCCCTGCCTGCCAGGGAAGACCCTGCGCCCCTGCTGGAAAAGACGCTGCGAAAGCGAAGCGGTCTCTGGGCCCTCTGGGCGGTACCCCTGAACTGTAGCCCGAGGCATACCCGTCTGACAGCTCCTCTGGATACACGCACGCATGAGCTGCGCCTGCTTGTAGAGAGGGCCCCCATGAGGTGGTGCCTGTGCTGCCCTCTGACACTCGCAAGGAGCACGGCGGCCGGGAGGCCAGTGTTGACAGGGAGGGCGGGCCGTGGCTTTGAGACGCCTCCGTGCCAGGTGGGTCACCATGTGGAGAACCATCAGGTGGGAAGTCAGGTGGGAGGGGTGAGAGGCGAGTGTGGGCAGCAGCAGGCGGGTACGGCTCCCCTGCAGCTGCTGCAGCGCCCGACACGCTGCTATCAGCACCAAAGGCGTACGTGGGGAGGCTGACGGCCCGCGTGGGCAGACCAGAGAGCGGATCCGGGAGGTCAGAGGCAGAGGAGCGCACACTGCCCTCCCTGAGGCTGCCCTCCCTCAGACTGCCTTCTCTCTGTATGACGTAGAGCATGCCTTTGGAGCCGAGTCCAGATGCGGTGTACTGTGTGTCGTACTCGTGGTGCAGCAGTGGCAGCGTGTTGGAGGCGCGGCTGTACATGCTCTCCCCGGCTGCGCGGTGGCGCAGGCAGGTGAACACCGTGGCGTGGATGGCCGCCACGCTCTTGTCCATGTTCGTGTTGTTCACCTGCGAGAGAGGGGGGAGATGGAAGTGTGGGGGGTGGAGGGGAGACGCGGGGGTTGAAAGCCCTACTTCTCTACGACACGTGGAAGGGGGCCCAAGACTCCCTCTTCCCCATCCATGTGCTCTTTCAGCAGCAGGGCTTTCAATCCGAAGAAAACCTCCACGTGTCGAATCGAGTCGTGTTGTTCACCTGCGGTTCGCGGGTCCGGGCATGAGCAGGGGGCGAACTCGAACATGTTCGTGTTCGCCCCCTGACGAACATAGCCTTCTGCTGAACCGAACAGTGTTCGGTTCGGCGAACGACTTGAGTGAAAACAGGTGTTCGCCGTTCGCCCTAGGAGGCGAACGAATTGCTGCAACAGGCGAACACGAACATGTTCGTGGCGAACATATTCGTGTTCGCCCAGGGGGAAATTCAATATAGAGTAAAATTCAAATCGTCGCACATTCTCTCCCCCCACCTCCCAAGCCAGTCCCGCCCTGCTTCATCCATCCAGTGCCAGCGCGCAACGGCGAAATGCTAGATCCGCACTTAAGCAGCGGCGAAATGCTAGATCCGCACTTAAGCAACGGCGAAATGATAAATCTGCACTTAAGCAACGGCGAAATGCTCGATCCGCATTTAAGCAACGGCGAAATGCTAGATCCGCACTTAAGCAACGGTGAAATGCTCGATCCGCACTTAAGCAACGGCGAAATGCTTGATCCGCACTTAAACAACGGCGAAATGCTCGATCCGCACTTAAGCAACGGCGAAATGCTTGATCTGCACTTAAGCAATGGCGAAATGCTAGATCTGCACTTCACTAACTGCGAAAGGCCAGATCTGAGCCCAAACACCAAGGCCCGCGACCTAAAAATTGGTCGCGGGCCTATTCGTCGACGAACACATTGGTGTTTGCCGAAGGCCCGTGTCGAACACGAACACGTTCGTGTTCGACGCGCCTCGGCGAGCTGAGCTGGGCGAACGGCGAACGTGTTCGGGCAAACACCGAACACGTTCGCCCCGAACAATTTAGGCCAAAAAAAAAACCTGTTCAGTTCGCCTCGAATTGCTCATCCCTAGGTCCGGCACACCTTGGCCCGTGTGCACAAGGAGGTTCTCAGTTGCAGCCTACTTCCTGAATAAGGTGCATATCGGCTCGCCGGACGAGGTAGTCCTGACTCGCCCGGATGTTGCGCACGTGCTTGTTGCAGAAAAGGGCCCACCATACTGCACCACATGTACGACGCACACACCTTAGGGATCAGATGCTTGTCGGCGCGGCGCACGAGGTAGTCCTGGATGGCGCGGATGTTGCGCATGTAGCGCACATACTTGTTGCGCCGCGGGTCCAGCGTCATGTACTTGGCGCGCACCGCAAACCGCTCCATGTGCTTCGCCTCGTTGCCGATGTAGATGACAAACGGGATGATCGTGGGGTGCCGTTTCAACAGCTCCATCTGCCATGGTATGGCATGGGGGATGGAGGTGGCATGGGGAATACAAGGGTGAGCCACAGGGGGTCCAGCGTCATGTACTTGGCGCGCACCACAAACTGCTCCATGTGCTTCGCCTCGTTGCCGAAGTTCATCACAAAGGGAATGATAGAGGATGCCGCTTCAGCAGCTCCATCTGCCATGGGGAGGCATGCGGATGCAGGTGCCACGTGGGATGCAGGTGCCACGTGGGATACAGGTGCCACGTGGGATACAGGTGCCATGTGGGATACAGGTGCCACGTGGGATGCAGGTGCCACGTGGGTGGGATACAGGTGCCACGTGGAATGCAGGCAACCCTAAAGCGCACCACAAAGTTGAGGCTGAGGTGAACGCCCTCCACGATGGCGGACTCATGGCAGCGCTCCCACTTGCACAGCAGCTGCTCCACACTGCCTATCACCATCTCACTCTGCGCCTTGTACCCCTGAATCACCATCTCCCTCTCACTCACCCCCTCCCTCTCACTTACTGCCTCCATCTCACTCACTACTTCCTTCTCACTCATTGGCTCCTTCCCATTCACAGCATCCATCCCACTCCCCAAATCTCTCCCTTTCCCTCCACTGCCTCCTTCCCCACTCCTCTCCCTGTCCAAACCTGTCACGCTTGGCCGACCATCCCAAACCGCCTCTCCCATCTCCCTCTCATCCCTCCCACCCCCACCTCCCCCTGTCACTGCAGCTTCTCCCCCGTTGTTCCCTTCTCCGCCTATTTGCCCTCCCCCCACCCGACCCCCCAATCCTACCGCGCCTCTGCTCTCACCAGCGCCCAGATCCACAGCGCCCTGCATCTCTCTCAGATCCACAGCGCCCTGCATCTCTCTCAGCCGCACCTGCCCCCCAACCTCCCCAGCTGCCAGCCTCCTCTCCCGGCCTCCTTCCCAGTCTCGCTGTGCTGCGGCAGCCTGTGTGTCCGCCTGTGCGCCGCCGTGCTTCCCTCCCAGCTTCTCCGCCTTCTTCCTGGCCTTGGCATCAGCAACAGCAGCGGGGTCGAGGTGTTCGCCTGCCTGGTACGTGGAGGCATACAGCAGCGGGTTGGCCTCGCGGCTGCTGAAGCCGCGCATCATGTGGCGCAGCGAGTCCGTCGACACCACTCTTGTGATGCCCAGCCGCGACGCCTGCCGGGGAGGGGGGAGAGGCGTACGGGAGGGGGCAGTGGGGGGAGGGGGGGTATGCAAGAGCGGAAGGCAGTTTGCGAGGCATGGCAGTTCTCTGGACTGCTGAAGCCACGGATCGTGTGGCGCACGGAGTGGGTCGACGCCGCCGTGATGCCCACCCGTGATGCCTGCACCGGGGGGAAGGGGGGGCAGGAGGGAGCATGTGAGCGAGGTGCCTTTGTCACCGCATATGCACTTAATGCGTATGCAATAACAGTAGAATGATGGTATAGAGTGGGCTTCATACTAAGTCCATAGGAAGATGAGATAGGAATAAGAATATAAGTAATAGGTGTAGAATGTAGCGAAGTTACTGTTAGGAGCGAGGGTGTAGAAGGGGGGAAACAGGATAAGAGCGGTTGAGATAAAAAGGGGGAAAGACTCCGAAGGGCGAAATGTGAAACCAATGAACCCCAACCCCGAGCCGCAATGTGCAGCCAGGGGTGGGGTAAGGTCACTCACCTCCAACCCATCGATGCTTTCTCGTTGTTATTCTCTTACACTAGTGAATCTGATTGTCTCAGGCTCTAGCACACGACAGCACGACACTAAGAGGGAACCTACGAGGTGAGAGACCAGGCTCTTTCATGTGGGTAAGTGAGGCTGTGCAACAGGGAGGAGGAAACAGGAGAGTCGGCATGAGAAGAACAGGTGCAGGAAGAAGAGCAGGTGCAGGGTGAAGAGCAGGTGCAGGGTGAGAAGGAGATGCATGAAGAAGAGCGGCGGCTGAGCGGAGGAAGGTTCTCCGACACCTTCCCCGCTGCTGCCGCCGCCCATGGTGCGTGCGGCATGTGAGGGAGGGAGCATGTGAGGGAGGGAGCATGTGAGGGAGGGAGCATGTGAGGGAGGGAGCATGTGAGGGAGGGAGCATGTGAGCGAGGTGCCTTCCCCGCTGCTGCCGCCGCCCATGGTGCGTGCGGCATGTGAGGGAGGGAGCATGTGAGGGAGGGAGCATGTGAGGGAGGGAGCATGTGAGGGAGGGAGCATGTGAGGGAGGGCGCATGTGAGGGAGGGAGCATGTGAGGGAGGGAGCATGTGAGGGAGGGAGCATGTGAGGGAGGTGGTGGACCCGAGAGGCATAGGCGAAGAAGGATGAATGGCAGTCACGCGAGAAGGAAGAATGGGGGGTGGGGAGGGGGAGGCAGAGAGGGAGGGAAAGAGGGGGAGTGAAGAGGGAGGAAGGGAAGGAGGGAAGGAGGGGAGGAGGGAAGGAGAAGGCAGAGCAGAGAAGGCAGGTGTGCAGCATACCAGGAGGGAGGCGAGGGTGGACTTGCCACAGCCGCTGGCGCCACACAGGAACACCGTCACTGACATCTTCCTCTCACGCACCCTGCATGGCAGCAGCAAGCAGCAGCACACAAAGCACGCAATTCCACCACAACGGCCGTGACAGATCAAAAGAACTCAGTAATCTTTACAGTGTGGGCAGCGGTGCAGTGCAACAGTGCAGTGCGGTGCAGAGCGGTATGCAGGGGCTCACTTGCAGGCGAGGGCGAGGTCACTGCGCTGGTCAGCGCTGACGTAGCGATACTCCGCGAGCGCCTGAGACACCAGAAACAGTAGCGGTACAGTGCGGTGCGGTTTAGTGCGGTGCACTCACTTGCAGGCGAGGGCGAGGTCGCTGCGCTGGTCGGCGCTGAGGTAGCGATACTCCGCCAGCGCCCGGCACACCACGTCCAGAAACGTGCTGCGCTTCAAAGACACGCTCACACCCCTCACTGTGTCCCCCCCGCCCGCACTCGACCCCCCTGCTGCTGCCCTGTTTTCTGTCCGCTCGTTATTGTCACGGCCGTTATTGTCACGGCAACTGTGATTATCATGGCTGGCGCTGGTGGCCAGAACAGCGCCGGAATCCTCTCGGTTTGGCCTGGCCAATCGCTGGGTACCGTCGAATCCGTTTGCCATCCGTGATCGGTGCGCCACGTCCGTCCGATGGCCGGAAACTCGCCGGCTGGTGACTTGCTGCAGCAGCATCTGGAAGACGCGCTCGCTGATCTGCGTGTGTTTGGTGAGGGAGAGGAGCGCAAGTAAGAGAGAAAGAGAGGACTGCAAACGTGAAGGCGAAACCAAAAGAACCGAGAATGTCGTGGGTGAGGGAGGAGGTATGCGCAGGTCCCAGTAGGTATGATATGATCTCACGGTGCAACACGGACCGGTCACACCCTGACGGCGTGGCGCGTCTCACCCTGACGGCGAGGCACGTCTCACCTTGACGGCGTGGCGGGACTTGCACCCCATGAGCTGCAGCGTGCTGGACAGCACCGACTTGGTGTAGCGCACCGCCGCACGCGCGCCCTTTCCGCCTGCCTCGGCTGCGAGTTTACTACTACTCCCCGCGCGCTGCTGCTCCCCGTCGTCGTCCTCCACGAGTACGTACAGCAGCTTCGCCAGCACGCCCATCGCTGCTGCCGCGCGAGTATGTACTCCGTCTCAAGGAGTGAAACGAGCGATTTTAAATCAGCCGTCCGACGTCAGGGAAGAGGCTGGGGATTTGCGCAGAAGCTTCGCCTTAAGACGCGCATCGCTCGTGCTGTAACAAACCTCCGCAATTTTACCACCTCCGGAGATGATCAATTCGGGACACGATGGCAGGAAGCTAGTAGTACAGACGAGGTGGTGAGGAAATGGCTAAAGGAAATGGCTAAAGGAAGCCTCAAGTAGCACGATTCCGATCACGAGGGCGAGAAGGGGTTCTACGAGTCGGAGGGAGGTGCAGCATCGAAGAGAACGAGCTGATGCGTGACGGCTCGGAGCCTCGTGTGTGTGGAGGCGGTGCATGCTGCTGACGCCTGGCTGTTGCCATGGCTGCCGCGGATGCACCACAAGCACACGGCAATCCCAAGGCGCAGTAACAGTCGAGCAAGGCGGCAACCTTTCGAGTCAATATCACCAGTTCGGTTCGTTTTTACCTGTAAAGTGTGAGCTCTATCCAGAATGGAACATCTGGCAACTGTACCAATTGGACGTACCGAGGCGTCACAAGCACTTAAGGACGGTACGGTAGGATGTAAGGGGAAACTTACATGGTTCGAGGTCTTTTTGGGGTACGGTATGTATTGGCCAATGGATCCATCGGCACCGCAGACGGGAGGCACCAGGACCGCCATGGATTCTACCTTGAGCGCTTCGGAAGGCCCAATGTCCACTGAATCCTTACCTGATGGGGCTTTAACACGGTTCTCCGGATTCCTTGCATCGAGATGGATAAGTGACATAACAAATTGTGTTCATACAGCGAACATGTTTAAGGCTTATCAAACTCCAGTGGATCCCGAGGCTGTAAACTCCCAAGGAACTTTTTTCAGTGCTCACTGGAGTTTCCCTAAGAGCAACGCGCAACGAGAATCCCAAGACTCAGTACTTCGGTTTTCTGACAATGAAGACATTACCAAGGACAATACTCCGATGGACCACCCAACATATAAGTGGTTTCCTATTATTATCAAGCAACCAGATCACACTTGTCAGCAAGCAGAAGCTACAATCATGCCGCCAAAGTCACGTGCTAAGAAGGCCAACGCCAAGGTTGCTGCTCGTAAGCAGCCGTTCAGTGCACCTGTCACGCCAAGGAGGGCTGATGGAGCTCTAAGCAACGACAATGCTGCTGATACGCCGATAACGGGCCCTGTTCATGTGGATCGCCCAGAGTCTTCGTCAATAGCCGCTGCCAGGCTGTCTGCACTGAAAGGGAAGGGACACGCGGAAGAAACAGTCAACAAACAAGAGAGTCTTCGTAAGCCGGAGATGCCTGAGTCAATGTCGCCGGATGCTGAGGCTGACATGGAGTTCCCTGAAGAGGAAGAAGACGTAGACGCTGATGGATCTGGTTATCTCAGTGACGACTCGGATGAAGGAGCTGACCCTGTCATGGCTGGTCTTGTTGCTGCGCATATCTGTTATACGCTAACCTTGCTGATCCCAGATAAGCACATTGAGGAGGTTCCTCGTACCATGGAATCGGTCATGGCGCACCTGGTCCACTGGAAGAAGGAACTCTCTGCTGATGCGCCTGCAACAACGAAGTTTCAGAAACTCCAGCCGACTTACCTGTCGAAGGAGCGCTTTGGTCGTGTTCAAGTCACCTTCGTCCATGAGAAGGATGCTGCTTTTGTCTGGAAGCGTGCTGTTGCTCATGACTGCCTTAACGGTACCTCTCTGAAGTTGACATGGCACTTTCCAGAGAATGCGGATTATGTGCGCGCTCGCTCCCTCCACCCGAACGCCTTTGAAGTGGTGCTGAAGGGGGTCCCGGCAGAGCTGACTCCGGAGCGAATCCGCAAGTTCCTGGTGATTGTGTGGTTGGTGAAGAGGGGGAAGACACCGTTTAAGGAAGGTTATGGTTTCCACCGCGTGCAAGATCCGGTGTTAGGGATGGACACAGACAAGATTCTTGGCCTTCTCATCCAGCACGAAAACGATCTCTACCGCTGGCGTCACTTCATCGTTGACCCTGCTATGAATGGGAAGAAGCTGCTGCTGCACTTCCCCTCGCTCAACTGTGACTACTGCAACGGCCATCACATGACACGCTACCACGACGACTACGTCACTGACCGTCAGGCCAACATTGTTAAATGGAACCTTACGGTTAAACGTATTCATGAAGTTAACGGTACTCCAGCTCTCTCGCCATGCACTGACTGTCTCGCCTTTTTCACCACGCATGATACTGACCCCCCTCCCTCTCCCACTCCTCGCAGCGGCCTCGCTAAAAGTCACAGATTCACTAAAAGTGACTCTGCTCGACCCGGCCATTGTTCTCACTTCAACTGGCGGATCACGCGAAGATTGGATCTGTGTCATAGATGCCTGCGGCAAGGCACACGGCAACAGTCTCGAGCTTGCAGCCGCTCATGTCGCCTCTGTTCGCCACACAACCAACCTGACCATGGCGGGTGCAGCTACGCGCAACAGCAAGGGAGCGATCAATGTCGCGGCCCTCCGAAAGGAGTTCCTCAAGGGTCCTGCCAAGGAGTCAGGGGGAAGTTACCCGTGGAAGAGAACATACTGGAGGACAGCCTTCAGAAGTATCATGAAGTGATTGTATGCGGAGCTGTGATTAGTATCTCGGTAGCATCTGCTGTGCTGTGCGGCTTAGTGCTTATAACAAGAGTTCTGGATCGGTGGATCGCTGTAACACTAACATCGAGAGCTGTGAAGCGGATCTCAACGCTGGTAACTTCTACCCCGTGGATGCGAAGGGGGTCTCACCAGTGGGTCAATGAATAAACGGCAAGAACTCTGCATCACCGCGCTCAATGTGAATGGGATAGGAAGAGCGGTGAAAAGGGAGAACCTGCACGACTGGCTCAGGAAATCAAAAGGAGTGGTTGTACTCACAGACACGAGACTTCAGGCAGATCACAATTTCTGGACCCAGATTAAGGCAGAAGCAGCTGCAGTAGTGGACCCAGGTGGTGCAGCAGGCGGGGTTGCGGTGCTAAGTTTCAACAGCGAGGTTAACTTTGGTGGTGTCCAACGGCATGCATCAGGACGTCTGTTAGCAGTATCGCTGAGCTGGAGGGAACTGTCATGGACCTTGGTAGCAGTGTACCTTCCTGCGCAAGCAACATCCAGAGGGAGTTTTTTCAGGGACTGCTTAGCCCCGTTTGTAGACTCATTAACGCATGTGGGACATGTGCTCCTTACAGGAGATCTCAACATTGTGGCCGACCCCATCATGGACAAGACGTCGAGGCAAGGCTCGGATGCGGAAAACAGGAGGCTCCTGCACATATGCTCTAAGTGGGACTTACGTGATGTTTTCCGGACGCTGTACCCATCGCGACTGGAATACACCTTCTTAGCAAGGCCAACGTTGTCAAGCTCCCGCATAGATCGCGCTCTGGCATCGTCCTCCATGCTTCCGCTGGTAGCTGATGCTTATCACTCGGCATCGCCGCCGGACGTCACGGACCACTGGTTTGGCATCACCACAGTACTGACCGCGCAGACAAGAGAGGCGCAGGGCCCGGGGCTATGGAGGATGCATGCGGATCAGACGAAACACCCAGGGGTACGGAACACCATCCGGCAGGTGCTGTCGGAGCAAGGTGGGACCGGCAAGCCAGACCTGCACTCCACACTCGCAGGGCTGCAGGCCAGCCTCAAAGCTCACGCAAGGGAGGAAAGAAAGAGGATTGGAAAGACAATAGCACATTTGGAGGATAGGGTGGCAGCACTGCGACAAAAGTTTATGGCGGACTCGAGTCAAGGAGGGAAATATGCGGAGCTGACCAAGTACGAGGCACAACTCAAGGCGTACCGCGATAGCCAGCGGAGGCGGAAGCAAACAATGGCAGGGATTGGTGCGGAGATGAACGGCGAAATCGCGAACAAATTCCTAACTCAGAGGATTGCTTCGCGAAAGGCGAAAACGGCGATCAAGGAGATTGTACATGACGGCAAAAAATACGAAGGGGAGAGGGAGGTCTTGACAGCGGCATCCGACTTCTACGCCAAACTTTTTGGAGCAAAACAGCAAGTGGCGGAGTTGGAAGAGTGGCCGATGGACCCAACGAAAACACTGAGCGCGGAAGCAAGGCAGGGACTCATAGCACCCTGGACAGAGAAGGAGGTTAGACGGGCGATGCGAGAACTGCCAAGGGGGAAAGCGCCAGGGGCAGACGGCCTGCCGAAGGAACTGCTTGAAGACAACTGGGACCTGCTGGGGGAGTCGGTAATGGATTTCATGAGAGGCTTTGAAAAAACAGCGGAGCTGCCAAGGAGCGCGTCAACGGCAGTGACAATCCTGTTGCACAAAAAAGGGGAGAGGACGGATCTGGGGAATTACAGGCCCATCACCCTGCTAAATGCGACGTACAAGATCGCGGCGAAACTGCTTGCGAACAGGATGAAGGGGGTGCTATCTCAGGTCATCTCGGAGAATCAATTCGGCTTCGTCTCGGGCAGGCGGTTGGCGGATGCTGTTAAAGTAGTAGCGGACACTATTGACGCAGCAGTGACAGGAAAAGAGGACTGGTACTTACTGCTTGTAGACTTTCAAAAAGCCTACGATTCGGTGTTGCGAGCCTTCATGTTTCGCACCCTGGAGCGTATGGGCTTTCCGAAGGCCTTTGTGGAATGGACCAAGGGACTGCATGACCACGCGGCGACGCAACTGCTGGTCAATGGATGGCTGGGTGAGCGGGTGGAGGTTGAGTCGGGAGTGCGGCAAGGATGCCCACTCGCACCTTATCTCTTCATCTGCGCAGCAGAGCCGCTAAGTCAGGAAGCGGAACGACGGAGACTAGGATTACGAAAGAGGGGGAAAGGTGGCTTGGCATACCTTGGGTATGCGGACGACACAACGCTTCTGCTCCGTGGGAAGGAGCAGCTCAAGAAGGCGCAGAGCCTCTTGGAGGACTTCAGTGACAGATCCGGATTGCACGTTAACCGAGGGAAATCCACGGTGATGCCACTGGGTAGGAACAGGACGGGCAAGCCACCTGCAGATGTGCACTACAACTGGGCGGAGAGGGGGACACCAGAGAGATTACTCGGCATCTGGATAACAACAGATGGGAGAGCGGAGCCTACTTGGGAAAAAGCCCTGGTCAGGGTGAACGTCATACTTACCAATTGGGAGAAACTTCACGTTACAACGACGGCGAGGGTGACGGTGCTGAACACCTATGTGATGCCAGTGGTGCTTTTCCAAGCACAGGTGTATCAGCCGCCGAAGCAGATATGGAAAAAGATACTGAAGCTGTGCCGCAACTTTATCTCGAAGGGATGTGCAGACAAGGAGAAACACTTCATCCTTTGGAGTGAACTGCTCGCGCACATGGGGAGAAAGGAGGGAGGTTTGGGGGTTATTAGCCCAAAGGAGAGGGTGAGCAGCCAAGCGCTGTGGAATCTGGGAGCGGCGTTGTTAGAAGGGAACCCGATGAAACAGTGGCTGCAAGACAGAGCGGCAAATATGCCACTGGGCTGGGCGACATTGCTGGCACACAAGGCAATACTAGCGGAATGGACGTGTGGGAGCGGGCGCTGGAAATCACTTACACCACTCGTGTGGGACAAGCAGCTGCCGGAGCTGCCGGAACCTGCAAACCGCTGGGAGATGGCGCGGGAGCAGCTCTGGTTCAGCCGCTGGATACACTACCAGGGGAACAGCCCTTTTGGCAGGCAGAAAGGCTCAGAATGCCTGAGGGAGTTGACGGTGGGTGACCTGCTTCAGGAAAGCTACGCGGGGGAGTGGAGTGTCAAAGACATTTGGACGCTGACAAAGCAAACTGGGAGGTCGGCCACTGCGAGATGGGCACTCAGGGCCTGGGAAGCGGTACCGGACAATTGGAAAGCGAAACTTCTGGAGAGAATCTCGCCCGAAGCAATTGCGAAAACCTCCACGGTGGTTCAACTGGGCAGCGGGGTGGAGGGGAATCGGTGCTATTTCCAAGTAGGTCTGTCGGAGGCCAAGGAGCTGTGCTGCGAAGCGGTATCTGTGGACAGCGAGGGAAAAGTAAAAAATATGGGAAGGAGCGCCCAGACGCCGGCGAGACTAAGCGTGCTAACCCCGATGGTGGTTAGGGACGGCCGGGTACTGGGTCAAGTGGGCGACCCTCTTACGCGACTGCGTGATTCGTACCTATGTGACGGGAAGAAGCCTACGGCGCAGAAAAAACTGAGGCATCTGCTTAGGAGGCCAACCACGCAACCGAAGCAGCAGAAGAAGTGGGAAGAGACGTGGGGGAAGAAGATTGACTGGGGGAGAGTCATTTCGAAGAGAGACTCCCTGGCGGTCCCAGCGAAGGCACGAGAGATCCTACTGAGGCTGCACAGTAACAACCTACAAGTGGGGAGTAGGGTTGCCTTTCTTGGACCACATGCATGCTGCCCATACTGCGGTCAGGAAGAAACACCAACACACTGCCTGATGAAGTGCCCGGTTGTTAGCGGGGTGTGTGGCGCGCTTCAGGACTCACTCCGCTTGATCAATCCGGGGAGGCCAACGGGGACACTGGAAGAGCTACTATTCGCTGAAGACAGCACGTCGTCCGGTTTTCCAGAAACCACTCTCATCGCGGTCACTTTCAGACACATCTGGCTGGAGCGATGTGATGCAGTGTTTCGGAAAACGTCTTTCGAACCTAAACGGGTGGTTGGGAGGATTGGAGCCAACTTCATGCGGCACGTTTGGATCTACAGCGAAGGGCTGCGCATTACTGGTAACCCGAGGAAAGATAAGGGCAATGGGAGGTGGCAACACCTGCCATTGGAGGAAGAGAAGGCCCTGGAAAGAGTTTGCGGAAGTGGAGAGATGATGACGTGGAGCGAGGAGTTCAAGTCCATCTGGGAGAGACCTAGTACTTTTTTCAAGCCACCGTAGGGTGGCACAGGGGGACCAGGGTAGGCCAAGTTAGGTCTGCCTGTGCTCCTCCTGCCCTCACCAGTTACGACTGTGGGTGTATGCATTGAATAGTGTAATACATCCCTAAAAAAAACAAATAAAAAAAAAGCACTTAAAGCCCGAGTACAGCATGGTATTTTTCAAGTTCAAGATTCTTGAACTTGAAGTCGTAAATAACAGGGTTACCCTCTTTTGTTTGAAAGAACTCTCGCGACCCAGGGAAAACTTAGTGCGACGGTCACTTCTGATTGGTTTCTGTGCCCAGTCGCACAACACATCCGAACATCGCCTACCATGTTGCCGTGGTCACCTCTCACATAACTTGACGACCAAGTGGTACTCCTAATCCACTAGAGTAGGCACGTAACTAAAAAACGCGCGGCACAGCGATAGAAGCTAGTTTAGGTAGAAGCGTTTTTTTCCTTCCAGCTCTCGTCACTCCCGCTGTCTTGCCAATAGCTGAGGAGCACCCGCTTCAAGCCAAACACGCTATTACCGTACCATTTTTGCATGCCAGCGACGGGACACCCGTTCTAGTGCACCACAGTCATGGGTCGGCAAAGGCTGCTGGTTACCTCCAATACAACGCCCGTAACGCATTGGCCAGCATAGCATGGCCCGCCCAACAAAAACTTGGCTTCAGTCTGCCTTCAGGCGTCATCCTCGCCTCGTCCAGACTCCCACACTTAGTATGTGGCGAGTGCATCACCTCATCGCCCGTGCTTCCCTTGCGATTCCCTCAACCCCACGTTACGAGAGCTTCTGCACTCGCGCATGCACTCGTCGCCCGCGCGTCCCTCGTCGCGCAATGTTTCACTCGTCGCAAGCGTTTCCCTCGTCACGCCAGGTTGTCCTTGTCTCCCACGCTCACCCGCGCTTCCGACGCTTACCCACGTTTCCCGCGCTCTCCAGCGACACCCGCGCTTACCCTCGTCACCCGCGCTTACCCGTGTCATCCCCACTTACCCGCGCTTATCCGCGTTTCCCGCGCTTACCCGAGGTCACCCGCGCTTACCCGCATCATCACTGCCCGCGTCTCGCACTCTTTCCCGCGTCTGAAACGCTTACTCGAGTCTCCCGCACTTACCCTCGTCTCTTGCGTTGCTCCTCAACGCCCTCGCCTCCCGTTGTCGCCTCAGTTTCCCCCATCCACACGCATCTCCCCTTATCGCCCATGTCTACCCAAGTCGCCACTCCCCGTCGTTAGCGAAGGCCCCCACACACCACTCGCATTCTCCCCATTTGTCCGCCTCCTTTCCCCCCCACACACTACGCGCATTTTCCCCCACTTGTCCGCCTCCTTTCCCCCCCTCACACCACGCGCATTCCCCCCACTTGTCCGCCTCCTTTTCCCCCCCTCACACCACGCGCATTCCCCCCACTGGTCCGCCTCCTTTCCCCCCCGCACACCACCAGCATCCCCCCCACTTGTCAGAGGGCGAGAGACAAAGTGGGAGGGACATAGAGGAAGGGAAAGAGGGGGAGTGAAGGAGGGGTAGGGACGAAAGTGCAGGGACGAGAGGGGAGGGATAGTGGGGGAGGGACAGAGGGGCAGGGACAGAGGGGGAGGGACAGAGGGGAGGGAACGAGGGGGAGGGACAGAGGGGGAGGGACAGAGGGGAGGAAAGAAGGGGAAGGACAGAAGTGGAAGTTCAAGGGGGAGAGGGTGGAGGACAGATGGGGAGAGACAGAGGGGGGAGGTACAGGGGGGGGGACAGGGGGGGAGAGACATAGGGGGGAGGGCAAAGGGGGAGAGACAGAGGGGGAAGGACACAGGTGGAGTGACAGATGGTGAAGGGCAGAGGGGGGGAGACAGAAGGGGATTGACGGAGGGGGAGGATAAGAGGGGGAGGGGCACAGAGGGGGAAGGACAGAGGGTGAGAGCGGGTACTTCCCTCACTCCCTCTCCTCGTCGACCTCACTTCCCCAGGCTTGTTTACACCCCTCTTTGTTTTGACCATCCTCCCTTTCTCCCACCACCTCTGTTTACCCCACAGTCTATTCTCCTTTGCCTCACCTGCCACTCCCCCCTTCCTCCTCCCTGCTTCCCCCCTCCCTCCTTCCTGCTTCCCCCCTCCCTCCTTCCTGCTTCCCCCCTCCCTCATCCATGCTTCCCCCCTCCCTCCTTCCTGCTTCCCCTTGTCCCCTCCCCCTTTTTCCCCCATCCCCTTCCCTGCTTCCCTCCATCCCCTTCCCTGCTTTCCCCCATCCCCTACCCTGCTTCCCCCCATCCCCCTCCCTGCTTCCCCCCATCCCCTTCCCTGCTTCCCCCCATCCCCTTCCCTGCTTCCCCCCCCATCCTCTCCCTCCCCATGTACAATCTCCTTTCATACTCCCCACTCCTCTCATACCCCCCACTCCTTTCATACTCCTTTGCCTCACCTGCCACTCCCCCCTTCCTCCTCCCTGCTTCCCCCCTCCCTCCTTCCTGCTTCCCCCCTCCCTCCTTCCTGCTTCCCCCCTCCCTCCTTCCTGCTTCTCCCCTCCCTCCTCCATGCTTCCCCCCTCCCTCCTTCATGCTTCCCCTCGTCCCCTCCCCCTTTTTCCCCCATCCCCTTCCCTGCTTCCCTCCATCCCCTTCCCTGCTTTCCCCCATCCCCTACCCTGCTTCCCCCCATCCCCCTCCCTGCTTCCCCCCATCCCCTTCCCTGCTTCCCCCCCCATCCTCTCCCTCCCCATGTACAATCTCCTTTCATACTCCCCACTCCTCTCATACCCCCCACTCCTCTCATACTCCTTTGCCTCACCTGCCACTCCCCCCTTCCTCCTCCCTGCTTCCCCCCTCCCTCCTTCCTGCTTCCCCCCTCCCTCCTTCCTGCTTCCCCCCTCCCTCCTCCATGCTTCCCCCCTCCCTCCTTCATGCTTCCCCTCGTCCCCTCCCCCTTTTTCCCCCATCCCCTTCCCTGCTTCCCTCCATCCCCTTCCCTGCTTTCCCCCATCCCCTACCCTGCTTCCCCACCCATCCTCTCCCTCCCCATGTACAACCTCCCTGCTCCTCTCATATCCCTACACCCTTGTTCCAAACTTCCCACTCCCTTCATATCACCCACTCCTGAAATACCCACCGCTAATGTGAATTCAAATTGTCACTGTTTCGTCTGGTCCCGCTTTCCACCTATGCACTGCTTCCCACGCTTGCACCCCTGCTTTCCGCCCTTGCACCCCTGCTTCCCACCCTTGCACCCCAGCTTCCCACCCTTGCACCCCTGCTTCTCCCCCTTGCACCCCTGCTTTCCACCCTTGCACCCCTGCTTTCCACCTTTGCACCCCTGCTGTCAGCCCTTGCACCCCTGCTGTCAGCCCTTGCACCGCTGCTGTCAGCCCTTGCACTCCTGCTTTTCTGCTTCAAGAGCAGCAGCAAGTCCCTCCAGAGATCCTATAGCTGCCACTGGTTCGTCTGCTCCTACTCTGAGCTACTACCGGTAAAATTTTGAGCCCTCAAGTCGTGCGCCTTCTATCCCACCCATGCATCTGCCATGTGTTGGCAGGCTAACTGGTGTGTCGATTCCAGTACTGTGGCTCACTTCACTGCGCATTGTGAACGAGGTCCTTGTGAAATGCAAGTATAAGCCATCCTGAAGTAGTGTACATTGGATGCCAAGTGGTTACCTAGGCAATAATTTGCACTAAAGTGCCAACAGAGCTGGGCACTGACACCTTTGGAGTAAGATAATGGTGAAAGAATATCATGGATGTATCCTTTTTGGGATACCAAACAATCTAGTGCCCTAAGCAGAATGGAACATGAGCTGGATAAGGGTCTCAAGAATCGAAGCAATGGAGTAGTTTCACCGGGCTAACTTCATCCACACGTATATTGCAACTATAATATGTGCAAGTATATTTCGCAAAGAAGCATGATTAGGTTTAGGACAGAACGGCATAGTCCTCCACACACATGCAAGCATGACATGTTCAAGACCAAATTAGCACAGTGGGGATGGAAACACAACCCCATTTATTCATCCTGACCAGCCACCCACACCTCCACTTCCTCCCCGTCATAGTGGCCTGCTAGCCACCACTCATCACTATCGTCGCTCCACTCCTCCGCATCTTTGTTCACTGCGTCTGCCACATCATCCACTTGATCCGATGGCAATTCCGCCTTATCCCTCTCACAGTGGTAACCTGCAGCTATAGCCAATGAGATGGAGGATAAGCCAGAATTTAGAGTGGTGTCCCTGTAGCTATGAATAATCTCAATCGCAGAGCATGGCAGGGCATGCCTGGAGGGGGGAGGGAGAAGGGCGGAGCGGAGCATGACAGGGGAGGGCAGGGCAGGGCATGGCATGGCATGGGAGAGGCATGGCATGGCATGGGAGAGGCATGGCATGACGCGGATGGTGCAGACAAGGGCCGGGCGGGCCATGAGAAAGCAGGGCAGGGCATGCCTGGAGGGGGGAGGGAGAAGGGCGGAGCGGAGCATGACAGGGGAGGGCAGGGCAGGGCAGGGCATGGCATGGCATGGGAGAGGCATGGCATGGCATGGGAGAGGCATGGCATGACGCGGATGGTGCAGACAAGGGCAGGGCGGGCCATGAGAAAGCAGGGCAGGCATGGCCCCTATAGTCATGGCATCGCAGAAAAATGAGGGTGCTGACAAGGGCGGGGCGGGGTGGGACAGGGCATTGCAGGGCAGGACATGGCAGGGCAGGGCAGGGCAGGTCAGGGCATGACAGGGCAGGGCAGGGGAGGGCAGGGCAGGGTAGGGCATGACAGGGCATGGCAGGGCAGGGCATGGTAGGGAATGGGAGATCTGAGCAGGCCAAGTTATAGCATGGTGGGCGATGGGTGTTTGTCAAATACCTTTGGGGGGGTCGATTGTCGTGGTGGGCGTCGTGGTGGTTCTGCGTGATGCCGAGCAAGCCTCGCGCGGGTTTGAAAGCTCGCCTGATATTCGCCTTGGGCACTTAGCGTGGGAGGTTCGACACATCACCTATAAGCAACATACAGATGGGTTGGAAGACGCGGATGGTGAACACATTACGCTGGCTAGAATGTTTACGTCGAGTATGAGCCATACTGAGCAATCACAACTCACGTTGCGCTGCCGTTGCTTACCCAAACGACGGCGAGCAGATCCACGAGACGTGCCGCACACCGGACCGAACCCGCCTTGGCGCACTGGTGTCACTGGCTCAAGAACAGATGCTATGGGCTGTGCGACCGATGCATCGACCGGCTGCGCAGTCGTTGCTGTTGATTCAGGCATCTTGTCAACATCCACATTATCTCCATGCCGCAGTGTTCGTTGCCATTCCTCCATGATGCCATCAACCCAAGCCCAATCCATTTTAGTCAAGATGCGCTCCTTGGATCCGCGCCTGATCCTCGTCACCTGTCGGACTCTAGTGCGATAGGCGGTCACCAGGCGATCCATGCCGTGATTCCAATGAAGAACCGCGAGACCGACTCGTGCCGGGAAGCTGCCCTGAAACCGTATCCGCTTAGGTGCATATTTGATGATCAAAGAATGGAAAGACTCGTTCAGAGAACTGGACGCACCATGCACAAAGGACTTAACCTTCTCAGAGCTTAAGTGCTTGGAGAACCATGCACAAACCGCCTTGTGTGTCGACGACCCAAACTCATATATGGCATGGTCCTTGCCCCACCCCTCTCTGACGCAGCGAGGTGGGGTCTCTCCTACCCCAGTACAGCCGGAGTGGTCACCGGCCCAGTGGTTGGGTGGGCTCCCAAGCTCCCTCGCCACGTCGGTCGGGGTCATAGGATGCCCCTCTTTCTTCTTCGCACCACATCGCACCATCACGTGATAGAAATGAGTGGATAAGCGTTGTGCCACTGTTTGTTCCTCCTTGCCAGAATCGATATGATCTTCACCTCGTTTCCGCTTTCGGCGACCAGTCCACCGAGGTAGTGTCTCGGGCTCGCTGAACGCATTAGGGTTCTGCACTTCGGTATCAGCCCCGACTCCATCTAGCGCATCTGTGAATGTTAGAAAACGAAATACGAAAACTGAGTATAGAGTAGCACTTGGATCATGCATGCCCAAAACTTGGTAAGGGGTGTATGCATACCAGTCTCCGTGTCGGTGTTGGCCCAAGAAGTGGATCCACCGATGAAATGGGACTTTCCGTTTGCGCTAGCGTGCCCAAGCATGATGAGGGTGCTCGCCAAAGATGTCGGTCGCGCACCTAGCGTCGGGTGCACATCATAACTTCATAGCTCTTCCACGTCTTCCCATTGAACGTCAACATTCCACTCCTCCGGTGTCGGCCTGTCCACGGTAGCCCGCTCAGCTCCCTCATCCCGCTCCTGCACATCGGCATCAGAAGCACCAGGCACCTCGCCGTAGGTCACAGGCACCTCCACCGGGCTACACTCCCCCCCCATCCGCACCACCTTTCTTAGCTCGGGAAACTTCCATTTCGCCTCTTCCAGGGTCATCTTCCGGTAAACAATCGTGCCCATGGCTTTACAAACGGATTCCACCAAGTCCCCTTTCAGTGAAGCTTTCGACTCTTTCTCCAACCCCCGTGCTGTCAGCCATTGCCGTAGCCCATCGATAGTCGCAAGCCATAGATCCTCAATACAGGTCGCCTTGTCCACAGCCACTGGTGCACGGACCGCATCCTGAAGTTCTTTCAGAAATAACTTGTAAAGCGTCCGCTTCACATGCCACCAGTCCACCTGGTGGTTCAACCCCCTTTCGGACGCTGCCCCACGAAAAGTAGTCCCTTGGTCGGAGATGATCCCTTCCACCGTAAACCCTTTCTGCGCCAGTTCATCTAACCCTTTATCGAAAGCCACCCTTTCCAGTCGCACCGACGAAGTGTCGTCCACCCCTTTTCGTGTCGTCGCACAGTACACTATCTTTCTGGACGGCAAATCTAAGAACGATACTGTACACCACTCTCCCTCACGGACATGTGACCATCGACCATCGACCACTACATATTCTGTAGGGATTTCTCGCTTCATCATCTCTTCTCGTACCGCAGCCATAGTCTTATCAGCCTCTCTCAATATAGCGTTCCATAACCCATTATCATCACCAAGGTACTTGTAAAATGTGCCCTTCCTTGGCGCTGGCAAGCCGACGTTGCGACAAAACTCCCACATTTGCTGATACCCCATTCCGGCTAAAGCAAATGCCCCGACAAATTTAGACTGTAGCATCGGAGAATGCGCGCCTACACCGGTTCGTGCTCTCTCGATACGCCGGCTCGGACATGACCAAAACTCTACACCATGCGAACACGCGTCGCATCTCCAAAACATGCCGACCGATGCCCATGAGAACTTCCATGACCTCAATGTCATCCCCTCACTACACGCTTGCTCATGTGAACACACCAATCGACACCCTTGGAAGAACCCAACCAAATGTCGAGGCTCGACAAGACATACCCGTTGTCCGTCGATGTCATCCACGCTCGGAGCAGAAGGCCAGTGCCTAGGGACACTCCCACGCGCAACTGCTCGTCGGTGGCTGTTGGCAGGCCTAGTGGACACAAAGAGGAGGGGAGTTTGGACATGGATACAACGACGTGTTTGATAGTGCACAATGACATTTTGCCATATGTAGCCACCGCAACCACTACTCTCACCCTTGCACTGGCCGTTCTGGAGTCGTCGTCACACTTCGTGCAGGCGCGGCCACCGCAGTATCTCTGGGCACTCCGGAAACGCCCTCATCAGCATCCATGCCCACAGTGCCTACGGCTGGCGCATCTGGCAGTTCGGTCCCCATGACGTTGCCACTCCCTCCATGGTTGGCCCCTGAAACGTATTGGGAGTGTGGACGGGACGTCGTTTATTACTCACGTCCAAAACAAGCCAACTTCAGATGCATCTTCCAAATCTTACCTGAATTACACGTCGCTGCAAATGCCGCGCCACGCCTGGCGCCTCCCCATGATCGACCGGAAACCTGTCGCAGTCTTCCGCGCGCATCATACTGCACCAGTGGGAAGGAGTATCTAAGACCGGCCAGCACTCGATAGGGCCGTTGATGCAAGGCTACTACATCCTCCATAGTTCCTTTCGCTCGTTCTTTAAAGATGCGGCCGTACTCTTTTCGATGTCTTTCCACAATTACGCCGGTATGAGTGTCGTTTGAAGCAGGATCTGTTAGGCAGAGAATGTGCAGGCAGAGAATGTTCAAGCATGTGATACATTTCACGGGTGTAGGACATTCGATAGAAAGACAACCAGCACTTCAGATCATGAACACATCACATGCTCGCCCAAACCTTGTGTCATACCTGCTGCTAGGCCCGCCTCAATAAGTCGGTTGGTCGCTTGGGGTGCTGACTCAACCAAAAAGTGAATCACATCATCTGTCGTCGCCATCGTGTCCCCAAGGAACAATGCCGAGAGCCCGACGCGGAGAACACACAAAAGTGGCCGCATGTGGACTGAAATGTTGACCGTTCCTCTCTAGGCATCCTTACATGCTTGTATTGCAGGATGCCCTCCCGCACCTACACCAACCCCTGCCATCTGAAACCATGTCAGTGCATACCCCGAGGAGAGGAAGGAGATGGGTGGTTAGGGCGTTGGCACAGCAGGGACAAGGATTAGGGCATCTATAGATGTCTGCAGAAATGTGCAAATGCACGTCATGCAGCACCGAGCGGTGAGTGCACGCAATAGAGAAAGGGCCCAAAGCACCAGCAACTCTGGTGGCTGCTGCCTGGGGACTGAACAGGTGGAGGCATGGTCCTGAAACCAGGCCCAAGGCAGCAGCATCCAGAGATGCTGCTGCCTTGGGACTGAATAGGTGGGTTTACAATGGTGAAAGCAAGCCCAAGGCAGCAGCATCCAAAGCTGCTGCTGCCTTGGGACTGAACAGGTGTGTTTACAGTGGTGAAAGCAAGCCCAAGGCAGCAGCAACTCTGGTTGTTGCTGCCTGGGGACTGAACGGGTGGGTGCTTGGTGCTGAAACCAGGCCCAAGGCGGCAGCATCCAGAGATGCTGCTGCGTTGGGATAGAACAGGTGGGTTTACAGTTGTGAAAGCAAGCCCAAGGCAGCAGCAACTCTGGTTGTTGCTGCCTGGGGACTGAACAGGTGGAGGCATGGTGCTAAAACCAGCATCCAAAGCTGCTGCTGCCTTGGGACTGCACAGGTGGGTTTACAGTGGTGAAAGCAAGCCCAAGGCAGCAGCAACTCTGGTTGTTGCTGCCTGGGGACTGAACAGGTGGAGGCATGGTGCTGAAACCAGGCCCAAGGCAGCAGCATCCAGAGATGCTGCTGCCTTGGGACTGAACAGGTGGGTTTAAAATGGTGAAAGCATGCCCAAGGCAGCAGTATCCAAAGCTGCTGCTGCCTTGGGACTGAACAGGTGGGTGCTAAATGGTGAAAGCAAGCCCAAGGCAGCAGCATCCAAAGCTGCTGCTGCCTTGGGACTGAACAGGTGGGTTTACATTGGTGAAAGCAAGCCCAAGGCACTAGCAACAATGGTTGTTGCTGCCTGGGGACTGAACGGGTGGGTGCAAGGTGCTGAAACCAGGCCCAAGGCAGCAGCATCCAGAGATGCTGCTGCCTTGGGACTGAACAGGTGGGTTTAAAATGGTGAAAGCAAGCCCAAGGCAGCAGCATCCAAAGTTGCTGCTGCCTTGGGACAGAACAGGTGGGTTTACGGTGGTGAAAGCAAGCCCAAGGCAGTAGCAACTCTGGTTGTTGCTGCATGGGGACTGAACGGGTGGGTGCATGGTGCTGAAACCAGGCCCAAGGCAGCTGCATCCAGAGATACTGCTGCCTTGGGATAGAACAGGTGGGTTTACAGTGGTGAAAGCAAGCCCAAGGCAGCAGCAACTCTGGTTGTTGCTGCCTGGGGACTGAACAGGTGGAGGCATGGTGCTGAAACCAGGCCCAAGGCAGCAGCATCCAGAGATGCTGCTGCCTTGGGACTGAACAGGTGGGTTTAAAATGGTGGAAGGAAGCCCAAGGCAGCAGCATCCAAAGTTGCTGCTGCCTTGGGACGGAACAGGTGGGTTTACAGTGGTGAAAGCAAGCCCAAGGCAGTAGCAACTCTGGTTGTTGCTGCCTGGGGACTGAACGGGTGGGTGCTTGGTGCTGAAACCAGGCCCAAGGCGGCAGCATCCAGAGATGCTGCTGCGTTGGGATAGAACAGGTGGGTTTACAGTGGTGAAAGCAAGCCCAAGGCAGCAGCAACTCTGGTTGTTGCTGCCTGGGGACTGAACAGGTGGAGGCATGGTGCTGAAACCAGGCCCAAGGCAGCAGCATCCAGAGATGCTGCTGCCTTGGGACTGAACAGGTGGGTTTAAAATGGTGAAAGCAAGCCCAAGGCAGCAGCATCCAAAGTTGCTGCTGCCTTGGGACAGAACAGGTGGGTTTACAGTGGTGAAAGCAAGCCCAAGGCAGCAGCATCCAAAGTTGCTGCTGCCTTGGGACGGAACAGGTGGGTTTACAGTGGTGAAAGCAAGCCCAAGGCAGTAGCAACTCTGGTTGTTGCTGCCTGGGGACTGAACGGGTGGGTGCATGGTGCTGAAACCAGGCCCAAGGCAGCAGCATCCAAAGCTGCTGCTGCCTTGGGACTGTTCAGGTGGGTTTACAGTGGTGAAAGCAAGCCCAAGGCAGCAGCATCTCTGGTTGTTGCTGCCTGGGGACTGAACAGGTGGAGGCATGGTGCTGAGACCAGGCCCAAGGCAGCAGCATCCAGAGATGCTGCTGCCTTGGGACTGAACAGAGGGGTTTACAATGGTGAAAGCAAGCCCAAGGCAGCAGCATCCAAAGCTGCTGCTGCCTTGGGACTGAACAGGTGGGTTTACAGTGGTGAAAGCAAGCCCAAGGCAGCAGCAACTCTGGTTGTTGCTGCCTGGGGACTGAACAGGTGGAGGCATGGTGCTGAAACCAGGCCCAAGGCAGCAGCATCCAGAGATGCTGCTGCCTTGGGACTGAACAGGTGGGTTTAAAATGGTGAAAGCATGCCCAAGGCAGCAGTATCCAAAGCTGCTGCTGCCTTGGGACTGAACAGGTGGGTGCTAAATGGTGAAAGCAAGCCCAAGGCAGCAGCATCCAAAGCTGCTGCTGCCTTGGGACTGAACAGGTGGGTTTACATTGGTGAAAGCAAGCCCAAGGCAGTAGCAACTTTGGTTGTTGCTGCCTGGGGACTGAACGGGTGGGTGCAAGGTGCTGAAACCAGGCCCAAGGCAGCAGCATCCAGAGATGATGCTGCCTTGGGACTGAACAGGTGGGTTTAAAATGGTGAAAGCAAGCCCAAGGCAGCAGCATCCAAAGTTGCTGCTGCCTTGGGACTGAACAGGTGGGTTTACAGTGGTGAAAGCAAGCCCAAGGCAGCAGCAACTCTGGTTGTTGCTGCCTGGGGACTGAACGGGTGGGTGCTTGGTGCTGAAACCAGGCCCAAGGCGGCAGCATCCAGAGATGCTGCTGCGTTGGGATAGAACAGGTGGGTTTACAGTGGTGAAAGCAAGCCCAAGGCAGCAGCAACTCTGGCTGTTGCTGCCTGGGGACTGAACAGGTGGAGGCATGGTGCTGAAACCAGGCCCAAGGCAGCAGCATCCAGAGATGCTGCTGCCTTGGGACTGAACAGGTGGGTTTAGAATGGTGGAAGCAAGCCCAAGGCAGCAGCATCCAAAGTTGCTGCTGCCTTGGGACGGAACAGGTGGGTTTACAGTGGTGAAAGCAAGCCCAAGGCTGTAGCAACTCTGGTTGTTGCTGCCTGGGGACTTAACGGGTGGGTGCATGGTGCTGAAACCAGGCCCAAGGCAGCAGCATCCAAAGCTGCTGCTGCCTTGGGACTGAACAGGTGGGTTTACAGTGGTGAAAGCAAGCCCAAGGCAGCAGCAGCTCTGGTTGTTGCTGCCTGGGGACTGAACAGGTGGAGGCATGGTGCTGAAACCAGGCCCAAGGCAGCAGCATCCAGAGATGCTGCTGCCTTGGGACTGAACAGGTGGGTTTAAAATGGTGGAAGGAAGCCCAAGGCAGCAGCATCCAAAGTTGCTGCTGCCTTGGGACGGAACAGGTGGGTTTACAGTGGTGAAAGCAAGCCCAAGGCAGTAGCAACTCTGGTTGTTGCTGCCTGGGGACTGAACGGGTGGGTGCTTGGTGCTGAAACCAGGCCCAAGGCGGCAGCATCCAGAGATGCTGCTGCGTTGGGATAGAACAGGTGGGTTTACAGTGGTGAAAGCAAGCCCAAGGCAGCAGCAACTCTGGTTGTTGCTGCCTGGGGACTGAACAGGTGGAGGCATGGTGCTGAAACCAGGCCCAAGGCAGCAGCATCCAGAGATGCTGCTGCCTTGGGACTGAACAGGTGGGTTTAAAATGGTGAAAGCAAGCCCAAGGCAGCAGCATCCAAAGTTGCTGCTGCCTTGGGACAGAACAGGTGGGTTTACAGTGGTGAAAGCAAGCCCAAGGCAGCAGCATCCAAAGTTGCTGCTGCCTTGGGACGGAACAGGTGGGTTTACAGTGGTGAAAGCAAGCCCAAGGCAGTAGCAACTCTGGTTGTTGCTGCCTGGGGACTGAACGGGTGGGTGCATGGTGCTGAAACCAGGCCCAAGGCAGCAGCATCCAAAGCTGCTGCCTTGGGACTGTTCAGGTGGGTTTACAGTGGTGAAAGCAAGCCCAAGGCAGCAGCATCTCTGGTTGTTGCTGCCTGGGGACTGAACAGGTGGAGGCATGGTGCTGAAACCAGGCCCAAGGCAGCAGCATCCAGAGATGTTGCTGCCTTGGGACTGAACAGAGGGGTTTACAATGGTGAAAGCAAGCCCAAGGCAGCAGCATCCAAAGCTGCTGCTGCCTTGGGACTGAACAGGTGGGTTTACAGTGGTGAAAGCAAGCCCAAGGCAGCAGCAACTCTGGTTGTTGCTGCCTGGGGACTGAACAGGTGGAGGCATGGTGCTGAAACCAGGCCCAAGGCAGCAGCATCCAGAGATGCTGCTGCCTTGGGACTGAACAGGTGGGTTTAAAATGGTGAAAGCATGCCCAAGGCAGCAGTATCCAAAGCTGCTGCTGCCTTGGGACTGAACAGGTGGGTGCTAAATGGTGAAAGCAAGCCCAAGGCAGCAGCATCCAAAGCTGCTGCTGCCTTGGGACTGAACAGGTGGGTTTACATTGGTGAAAGCAAGCCCAAGGCAGTAGCAACTTTGGTTGTTGCTGCCTGGGGACTGAACGGGTGGGTGCAAGGTGCTGAAACCAGGCCCAAGGCAGCATCATCCAGAGATGATGCTGCCTTGGGACTGAACAGGTGGGTTTAAAATGGTGAAAGCAAGCCCAAGGCAGCAGCATCCAAAGTTGCTGCTGCCTTGGGACTGAACAGGTGGGTTTACAGTGGTGAAAGCAAGCCCAAGGCAGCAGCAACTCTGGTTCTTGCTGCCTGGGGACTGAACGGGTGGGTGCTTGGTGCTGAAACCAGGCCCAAGGCGGCAGCATCCAGAGATGCTGCTGCGTTGGGATAGAACAGGTGGGTTTACAGTGGTGAAAGCAAGCCCAAGGCAGCAGCAACTCTGGTTGTTGCTGCCTGGGGACTGAACAGGTGGAGGCATGGTGCTGAAACCAGGCCCAAGGCAGTAGCATCCAGAGATGCTGCTGCCTTGGGACTGAACAGGTGGGTTTAAAATGGTGGAAGCAAGCCCAAGGCAGCAGCATCCAAAGTTGCTGCTGCCTTGGGACGGAACAGGTGGGTTTACAGTGGTGAAAGCAAGCCCAAGGCTGTAGCAACTCTGGTTGTTGCTGCCTGGGGACTTAACGGGTGGGTGCATGGTGCTGAAACCAGGCCCAAGGCAGCAGCATCCAAAGCTGCTGCTGCCTTGGGACTGAACAGGTGGGTTTACAGTGGTGAAAGCAAGCCCAAGGCAGCAGCAGCTCTGGTTGTTGCTGCCTGGGGACTGAACAGGTGGAGGCATGGTGCTGAAACCAGGCCCAAGGCAGCAGCATCCAGAGATGCTGCTGCCTTGGGACTGAACAGGTGGGTTTACAATGGTGAAAGCAAGCCCAAGGCAGCAGCATCCAAAGCTGCTGCTGCCTTGGGACTGAACAGGTGGGTTTACATTGGTGAAAGCAAGCCCAAGGCAGCAGCAACTCTGGTTGTTGCTGCCTGGGGACTGAACGGGTGGGTGCATGGTGCTGAAACCAGGCCCAAGGCAGCAGCATCCAGAGATGCTGCTGCCTTGGGACTCAACAGGTGGGTTTACAGTTGTGAAAGCAAGCCCAAGGCAGCAGTAGCAGAGAAATGGGCACTCACCTGGGCTATCCTCTGTAGCGATCCGCAGGGGCGTGTGCTGCACCTTGCTCCCCGTAGTATCCGCTCACGTTGTGCGCGCGGTGGTTGTAGCCAGGTCACCTGGGAGGGCGCGCTTCTCGTCGCCGGGAACGCGGGCTCCGCGTCGCCTGGAACGCGGGCTCCGTGTCGACTGGATGGCGGGATCAGATCCGCCTGAAATGCGAGATCCGCGTCGCGAGGAATGCGGGCTCCGCGTCGCGAGGAATGCGGGCTCCGCGTCGCACAGAACGCGAGCAGCTAAATGTGGCGAGCGAGTGCTGCTCGGCGCAAGGTGCGCGAGCCGAATCTAGTCCGCTTTCTTCCCCCTGGCTAGTCACAACGACTCCAATACACTCGTCGTTTCTTGTTGTGCCTAGCTACCCGTAGTCTCCAGTCTGTAATCACGACCTTCTTCCCGTTAGTGCAATCGCGCTTGCACGTTCCTACACTTTGCTGTTGCCAGCTCCTGCGATGGTCGTTACCCAAGTAATGTGGTGTAAGGATCGTGTCGAACACGTCTCTGTTGTGGCGATGAGTAGGTGGCGTTGATAACCTGCACGTGCTTTACTTGCTCAGTTTCTATATTTCCCGTTAGCATCGAGCTGATTCACTGGTGAGGTGACTTCGGGTGAGCAACACTTTCCATGTGAGAGAGGATGTGTGCGACACATTTGTCGCTTTGGGTTGGTGGGATTCGCAGGATTGGTGAGTGCGAAATGTTCACTTGTTTGCGGCGGAAAATTGTTCTCGCCAAGGGCAGCCAACCGAAATAGGCTTCGCAGATCTCGCATACAGCCTATTTCAAATACACATAACTTGATAATTTACCATGCTGACCCCGGGCTTTAAGGATTCACAAAATGGGCCCCAACCATGCACCCCAGACTCGGGGAGCATGGGAACCAGCGGCCGTATGCGAAGCGAATTTCACGAGCGTCGTTAGGCTTCGTCAGCCATCCCGAAGTAGCGCTGCTCGAGGCAGCACTGGCAATAGCGCCCGAGAAAGTCATACCTCGTTATTGCGTATATTGCAAGCAAGACTAGACAAGGAAATCCATGTGCCATTCAATCTAATATACTGGATGATGTCTCCAATGGCCCAACTTGTGACGCATTACGTTACCGAAAGGACACATCCCATGCTTTGCAGCACTATTATTTCACTGTTTCAACACTATCATTGGCAGATATGATAGGTAGCTGAAAATTGGGCTTCCCAGAATTCAGGGATGCAACTGCTCTGGCCCTAACCCATGTGTGCCGTGCTCTCAGCCTTGCTGTTGCACGCGACGGTGGTACACTCCAGGTTGGGTGGCTCTAGCACAAACGTCACCCCGTGCGCAGCCAGGTGCGCCGTCAGCCCCGCATCCGGCACACTTAGCGGTGACGCGGATTTCATCGGCGGAACTGACTGGAAATACACTTCTTCCGGCTTAAGCGTTCTGTTTAGCGGCAGGCGGTGAAGGTGGGGAAGAGGGTGAGCGGCGGGGCGTCCAGGAGTTGCTGCGCGGTGTAGCGGCCGGGGAGGATGTGGTAACGCAGTAACCGGCGCTGGTGCGTGGGGGAGAGGGCGGTCCAGTGCGCTAGGTATTGCCAGTGACCCACGTTGGTGGGGACGAGCAGCTTGGCGGGGGCTGTGATGGGCTGCTGCCCGCCTTGCACTGGGTGACAAAAAATTGGTTGGGGGAGGGTAGAAAGGGGAGGATGTTGAGGGGCATGGGAGGGGGTAGGAGAGTAGGGTTGTGGGAGGGATTATATGAAGTAAGAAGGGAAGGTGCAGGTTGAAAAAAAATAGAAAGGAGGGTAGAAAGGGGAGGATGTTGAGGGGCATGGGACGAGGTAGGAGAGTAGGGTTGTGGGAGGGATTATATGAAGTAAGAAGGGAAGGTGCAGGGATTATATGACGGGCTGCTGCCCGCCATGCACTGCATTGGAAACGATTGGTTTGGCAGGGGGAAGCGGGGGTGAGCGGGAGGGAAGAAAGGGGGGGAAGGAGAGGGGGGGGCGGGTGGGGGGGGGGGGGTGGGTTGGGGGGGGTTGTGCAGTGCTGTGTGCGTGGAATGGGGAGCAGTGTGGTGCGGTGCCGTGCGAGTGGAATGAGCGTGCGGTGCGCGTGGAATGAGGTGCCGTGCAGTGCAGTGCACTTGGAATTTGGTGCGGTACGGTGCGCTTGGAATGAGCTGTGGTGCAGTGGGGTGCACATGGAATGAGGTGGAGTGCGATGCACGTGAATGAGATGCAGTGCGGTGCGGTGCTCGCGGAATGAGGTGCAGTGCACATGGAATGAGGTTTAGTGCGTGTGGAAATAGGTGCAGTGTGGTGCAGTGCGCGTGGAATGAGCTGTGGTGAGGTGCAGTGCGCGTATGAGTTGCGGTGCGCGTGGAATGAGGTGCGGTAGGATGTTGGGAGGCATGGGAGGGGGTAGCAGGGCTTTTAGAGGGGAAAATACGCAGTTGAGAAGGGAATGTGCAGGTGGAAAGAAGAGCAAAATACGGAATTGAGATGCGAAGGTGAGAAGAAAAGGCGATAAATAAAACAAAATGGTGGAAGGGAGGCGACTGGAGAGGAGAGGGGGAGGATGCGAACGCGCAGAACGAACAGAGGCACATGGGCATGGTGGTTACAGAACTCGCTGAAAATGGCGGCGAACGAGGATAGAAACGCCTGCTGCGACACCTGCTGAAGAACAGACGCCGTTTCCGCTCGCCAGTCCGGCTCGCCCTGCGCATTCGCTCTTCGCGAACTCAGCACGGCGAAAACAAGAAGCAGGGCGACGGCGCTGCTGGCGAAATTTGCCAAAGGAGAAACAACACTCCACTGGCGATCAGCCATGGTGAATTTAACAAGCGGGGCGCTCCCACAGGATGATATGTGGCGATGAATGGTGAACAGCGCCGATATCGTCCCTAGCAGGCGCTGGAAATGCGGCCACAGGAGCAACTAACTGCTCTAAGAATAAGCTACGTTGCTCGCCAACCCTAATTAAATATTACTTCTAGTTTCAACCGACTGCATGACGCCATGATGGTAGGAAATGAGAAACGCTGCGAGCGCGCAGTGTACTGCGTGCGGGTCGTGCGGAACTCGAAGAGCACAAGGGAAGGTGCGGCGGTGGGTGAAAAGGATGACGAGAAGAACCCTTCTCGAGGGGACCTGCGTTCGATTCGACTCATTTGCTTGGGAAGGGCAATTGGGTGCGAATGAAGCCCCAAGTTCCAGCTCAAAACGATGGCGTTACATGTGGCACTCCATACGTTCTCAGGTGACGAACGACCCACAAAACGAAACTTTTCACTTTAAGACGGTAGCAATAAGTACTGACATTGTGCTATGTGCAAGCATACCTTTCTCGGCCTTTTGGCTAAGATCAAGTGTAGTATCTGTTCTTATCAGTTTAATATCTGATACGTGGACCATTGGCCCACATGATATTAAATTAATTTCTTTTGGGGGCAGGTGCCAATGGTCAGCTTGCTGGTCGGCCCTGCGAACGTCGCCTCGGTATTGCACTAACTCCGAGGAAGGCGCACCCCCCCCCTAATAGGGGTCCAAATTAAATTTATGAAATGGGATTTGTGTTTGTATAAATCCCATGTATAAAATACACCTTTTGGATGGACACTTAGTGCATAAGGATCAATTCTTTGCTGGGCACATTGTGCAGAAGTTTATGGTGCCCACTCTGTCGAAAATTCTGCAGCATTGTTTCAGACATACTCATGCAAACAAAACAAATCAACCATCCTGTGGTTCCACAAGGGATTCTTGAATTTGCTTGTCCAGAAGGCATTCTTCAAGCAAAACAGCATTTCAGTGCAATATAAAAGTTGCACATGTTGAAAGTTGCTTCAAGCGACTCGAAACTATTCTCCACAAGTCTTTTTAGTGAATCACAAAACGAAACAGAATCTCCCCCTAACAATAGAAAAGAGTGTTAGCTGCCCCCTCTAGGAGCACCACCACCAGCACCCACCCCCCCTCTCATCCTCCTCGCTCATCCCCTCACTGTCCTCCTCATAAGCAAGTCGCCCCGGCATGCCCTCCATGCGGGTGGGCACGGCTCTCAGAAAGTGGCTACAGCGGAATGGGTTGCATTGATTGTGTTGGGGTACAATGTTAAGGAACATTAGGCTTAGGAGCCTAGGGTGAAAGCAAGATGACGAGAGAGAAGCCAAAAGAGGGGATTGCACTATAGAATGCAATACCCTACAACTTATAGGGAACGAGGGAGGTGGTAAAGGGAGATAGTGTCAAATGTTGTAGCCTGTAGTGAGGTTTGTCTTAGGGGGTACAGAAGTTAGGGTTTGTTATATGTACCCCAACCAACATCAATGGCATCATCATTCCTCATTTTGACATGGTATCAGCTAGGTTAGGATCCTGTGGGATCCCGTTCCTCCGTTCTCCGTTCGTCCCTCCCGAGCTTGATCCTACCTCTCGTTCGTACCGGTTCCGTTGTTACCGCGCCTAGTACCGAGCCTAGCGCCCTCTCCCCCGTCGCTTAGCGCCCTTTCTCCCCGTCGCCTAGCGCCCTTCCCCCCCCCCCCCCCCCCCCCGTCGCGTCGCGCCCTTTCCCCCCGTCGCCTAGCGCTCTTTCCCCCCGTCGCGTCGCGCCCGTTCCCCCCGTCACGTCGTGCCCGCCCTTTCTGTCAAATGTTGTAGCCTGTAGTGAGGTTTGTCTTAGGGGGTACAGAAGTTAGGGTTTGTCATATGTACCCCAACCAACATCAATGCAACACTCATTCCTCATTCTGACATGGTATCAGCTAGGTTAGGATCCTGTGGGATCCCGTTCCTCCGTTCTCCGTTCGTACCTCCCGAGCCTGATCTTACCTCTCGTTCGTACCAGTTTCGTAGTTACCGCGCCTAGTACCGAGCCTAGCGTCATCTCCCCCGTCGCGTCACGCCTGTTCCCCCCCGTCGCGTCACGCCCGTTCCCCCCGTCGCGTCGCGCCCGTTCCCCCCGTCGCGTCGCGCCCGTTCCCCCCATCGCGTCGCGCCCGTTCCCCCTGTCGCGTCGCGCCCGTTCCCCCCCGTCGCGTCGCGCCCGTTCCCCCCGTCGCGTCGCGCCCGCCTGTTACCCCCCCCGTCCCGTCGCCCTGTCCCGTCGCGTCGCCCTGTCCCGTCGCCCTGTCCCGTCGCGTCGCCCTGTCCCGTCGCGTCGCCCTGCCCTGTCCCGTCGCGTCGCCCTGCCCTGTCCTGTCGCCCTGTCCCGTCGCGTCGCCCTACCCCGTCGCGTCGCCCTGCCCTGTCCCGTCGCCCTGCTCCGTCGCGCCGCCCTGCCCCGTCGCGTCGCCCTGTCCCGTCGCGTCGCCCTGCCCCGTCGCGTCGCCCTGCCCTTTCCCCCGTCGCGTCGCCCTCCCTAGGCCCTGGCCTGTCGCCCTTCCTAGGCCCTGGCCCGTCGCCCTACCCTAGGCCCTGGCCCGTTGCCCTACCCTACGTCTTGGCCCGTCGTCCTAGCCCGCTCTTCCGCTGCGACTGAGTCCTCTTCCCCCCCCGGTTGTTACTCGCCCGTTCGTTCTCACTATGGCGACTCCGCGAGTTCTTCGTTTCGACGCCGACGGTAGACCCCTTGACTTTTCCGTCTGGCTTCTTCGCGCTCGTCGTCTGTTAGAGAGTCAGGTCCAGGGGGGCGAGACCCTCTGGTCACACGCTACTGGTGACCTCCCCGAGCCCCCCGAGCCTACAGCTTTAGGCCCTGCTCCTGACGACGCTGCTACGGCTCGCTTTGCCCGTCAGCGCGCTGACCGGACGGCTTGGACGTCGCGTGACGCTGCGGCCTGCATCGCACTCAGCAGCCTCCTCCCTGAGTCCGAGGAGGTCCACTTTACTCAGGTTCGCACCGCTGCTGCGTACCTCACTGCGATTAAGGCCCGCTACTCTACTCCCGCTACTGTCTCTCTCGGCCGTCTTTTCCTCCCGTTCCTGTTTCCTGATCTTGCCTCGTTTGAGCGCTCTGCTGACTTGATCGCTCACCTCCGCTCGCTCGACGCTAGTTACCGCGCTGCTTGCACTGAGGCACAGCTTGCACTGCTTCCTCCCCCCATGGCGATTACTGTCTATTTCATCGCCACTAGCCTCCCTGACCGCCTTGCCTCCGTTCGTGACGCGCTTCTGCTGAAGCACCCTAGTGAGCTGACTATCGAGGTCCTTGAGTCTGCACTCAAGGACGTCGAGAGCAACCTTCGTTCGGTAGCTGCCGCCTCTGGTACTGTGTCCCCCCCACTCTTCCACGGGTGCACAGTCCCGCAGTTACCCACCTTCACTGCCTCTCTTGCCACTGCCGCTACTGACGCGACTGCGGCTGCTGTTACGACTGCGTCGCGGTCCCGCGGCAGGGGGGGCAAGAAAGGTGGTTCCGGTGGAGGTGGAGGCGGAGGTAGCGGAGGTAGTGGGGGTGCTGTTGCGACTGGCGGTGGTGGGAGTGCAGCGTCTGGAGAGACCCCTCGTGCAGCGGCCGGTGACTCCACTGCACCTGCTGGTGGCGGCGACCCTCGAGCTCGTCAGTCGCCTCCTGTACTGCCGGCCCCGCTAGGTGGAGCAGCGGCGTGGTACCAGGCTCAGCGTCAGCAGCACCTTCAGCAGCAGCAGCAGCCCCTTTCCTCCCAGCAGCCTCAGCAGCAGCAGCGTCAGCAGCTGGCTCCGGGGTCGGGGCTGCGTCAGCCCCAGCGCGGTGCTGCTTACCCTCCCTGCCCCTACCAGGTTCAGACAGGTCCTCGTCGGAGCCACCCTTGTGGCCGCTTTCACCCCCCTGGTCAGTGCTTTGCTCAGCTCGCTGACACGGTCCGGTTGACCTACGGGGTTGGCGGTCCTGCTCTTGACTGGCTTCCTCTGGTTCAGCGCTACGGCTCCGCTCTGTGGGGCATGTCTGCTGAGCAGTTAGTTGATCTGATTGGTGCTCCTCATGCTATGTATGCTGTTGTTGACTCTAGTGTTTCGGACTCTGTTTACTCTGGTGTTGTTAGCTTAGGTGCTAGTCTTGCTCAGTTGCCTGTTGCTAGTGTAGGTACTTGTGTAGACTCTAGACCAGCGACTACCTCAGAGGACGCTTCGCTGTCGTTCACACTGGACTCTGGAGCCTCCCACTGCTTCTTTCGGGACAGCACAACACTTACACCACTTCCTGCGCCTGTTTCTGTAGCGTTGGCTGATCCCACTACGGGACCAGTCACTGCACGTCACACTACCACTTTACCGTGTCCTGCTGCTCCCTCCGGGTCTCTCACTGGGTTTCACGTCCCCTCGTTCTCCCGGAACTTGGTGGGCGTGCGACCCCTCGTGAGCCAGCACGTGGGTGTGTGGTTTGAGCCTTCTGGAGAGACTGCGGTGTGTGTTGACGGAGACTCTTACCAGCCTCTTGCTACCTTTACTGCTGAGCCGGGCTCGGGTCTCTACACTCTTCACACTGGCCCGCGTGCGCCGCAGCAGCAGCCGCAGCAGCAGCAGCAGCAGCCGCAGCCGCAGCAGCAGCAGCAGCAGCAGCAGCAGCAGCACCAGCGGCCGCACCAGCAGCCCCCCCTACTGCCACTGCCCCCGGTTCCCCCCCCCGTTCGGGTCCCCGCGTCTCACCAGGTTGCTACGTCCCCCCAGGTGTCTGTGTCGTGTCAGGTTCCTACGTCTGTTCCAGTCGCTGCGTCGTGCTCCTGCCGGTCGCTTGCCCACCCCACCGTTCTGTGGCACCACCGGATGGGGCACCCGTCCCTTCCACGTCTGCGCGCTATGTCTAGTCAGTGTCTTGTCCTAGGCCTCCCACGTGTCTTGCCGTCGCTGCCGCCTTCGCCTGCGCCGCCGTGTGGTCCCTGCGTCGAGGGTAGGCTGCGCGCCACCCCTCA